GTTTGAGACTTTACATATTTGTACTGTAATCTTCAGCTTGTTGATTCCTGATCAACTTAATATGACAATAATATTGTTGTATGCCAATAAATGCCATTAATAAAAATTATAAAATATCACTTAACTCAAACTAAGTCAATCCCTTTTGAGAAAAACAGGGTGAAGGGTACCCATGCACATGGCTAGTGCAAAGCATCAGTCACCTCTCACTCTGTCCTCACTTCCTCTGTGGGCCTGGGTCTTGGGGTTCATTTGGCCCTGTTACTGGGGTAAATCATGCCATATCCAGCTGAACAGGCATCTGAATTCTGACTACTTCTCAAACTTTTACAGAACTCTTCTTTTTAGTCACATTTTACCTCAACATGATCAATTCCTGCACCTTTCAGAGACTGGGGGTTTAAACCTGGTTCTTTCCTCACAACCAGTTTGAGTTCTCAGGCTACCTGACCTAGTACTGAACTGACATCTGTATTTCAGATTCCAAAAATGTTGCTGTTGTCTCTCCTTGTTTGTTTCATCCTTGTGAGTCTGTGTGATGACTTTCCAATCATCCTTAGTGAGATTTTGGAAGGGAATGGATATAAGGGTCAGTATCTTATCATCTTTACCCGGCAGAGTCCCCCATGGACTGCCGCAAAGCCTTCTGTACCCCCAGCACACGCTCCCTGCTCTCTCAACTAAGAGGACCCCATCTATCATTAATAAACTGTAGTTTTCATTTCTCTACTTGAAATGATACATAAGTAAAAGCTTATCGCTTTTAATATTACTTCGGGTATTCATTATTGCTAAAAGCTGAGCAACGTGAGCATGTTACTGTCAAGTACTTTGAGGTGAACGGCAAGTGAACTTCCTTGTTTATTCACGTCAAGACAGAGAAATAGAGTGCCATAATATGCAGCTTCTGAATGTCACTGTCTTTCAACTATCAGCTGAAGAAGTTTGGTTTAAGAAAGAAAATAGTTTCTCTGTTGCATTAAGGGAAACAAGGAAATTGCTTTATTTACCAGAGATTCTGTGGTAAACTCATAGTGTATATTGAATAAGAACATTTGCTAGTTAAAGTAATGGCAACATCCATTACTGCAGGGCAAAGTTAAACAGTTTCTGCAACATAAAGAGTTCCACATTCTCTGGCCTAAATTTAATATGGTTTTCTTTTAAATTTTAGTTTTAAGATTTACTCAGAAAAGATGAAATGCTAGTAATTATACCATAAAACTTTTGAAGGTTTTATGCATTAAAGTTTAGAATTTTAATTATCAAATAGAAAGCACATTTTACAAAATGGGTATGTTTTGCTATTATTTGAGTAAAATGTCATTTTTTGGTAAGCTGAAGTCATGACAAAAAATGTTTAAGCATGTGCATTTAAAACAGTATTTAGTGTGCCATGATATTTCAATTTTATTATAATCTGATTAAAATTAGGGGAAACTATCTTCCAGAGAAGCAAGTGCTGGGTAAGTACATTTTGTATGTTTACTATTATTGTAATATACTCTTCTACACAAAGCAGAAATTGGAGAATTTGGCATTAGCTGCTCATTATATGTTGGGAACAAATTCAGTTACTCAGGACACAAAAGCACATTGATGGATATTTTTATTTTACTCTGCAGACACTGAAGACAAGCATAATTTCAGTTTTAAATTACATCCCAAAGAAATACCAATGTTTTAACTTTGAAATGGAAGAAAGAAAAACAAGCATCCAGCAAAGTTCATTAGCAGCAGATTTTTATAGCTTATAAATAATAGTACACTCTATTATATTGAAAGAAATTTAAATGAAATATCAAGGTTAGCATAACCTAGATGTGAAGAATGAAAACACAGAATTGAGGGTAAAACTCCCATTTTATAAAACATCAAAACAAAGGCTCATCTAGTTTTCATTTGGCAGAAAACTTTTTAGCACAAAAAAATCCTTACTTAGGCCTTAGGGTTTTTAAACACAATAGTGGGATTAATATTTAATCTTAGACAAATGATAATTTCCTTTCCAGATACCATCAGTCTTTCACCACTGATATATCTTAAAATTAAAAACAATAAGATGAGATCACATTCTCTTGCAAATTAATGTAAATCAATCATACTGTAAGTTTCAGGTTTTTTTCTATTATTTATCTAGTATATTATTTATAAACTAGTTTATAAATAAAAATAAATAATATTTTATCTACTATTAGAGATCTATTATTAGATAGATAAATAATTATTTATCTAGTTTATTATTCATAAATAATGAACTGGGCCTCCCCTGGTGGCGCAGTGGTTGAGTGCTGGGTTGCAAGGCTGCCCGCAGCCTCTGCAGCACCGGTTCGATCACCGGCCACCGGCGAGGGTCCCACAAAATAAAGAAATAAAGAAATAAAGAACTAGTTTATTATTTATAAATTCTAGTTTATTATTTATAAATTATTCTAGGAAGTTGGTGTAGAATTAGAGGTCAAAGGTTCTGTGTGGCACTGACCCACAGGCACACTGTACCGCTTCAGCTCCAACGATCTACATCTAATCACACCATGAGAAAGAAAAGAGTGTCCTTTCCCAAAGAAGACACACATACAGGACCAGAAGAAGTTCAGCTACCTCCCCACATACACTTTGAAAAAGGGATAGAAAGACAAGCAGTTGCAGACCACAGCTCTGACAAGGTAACAGAAAGGCAGTTGAGAGCCAGTGTCCCTACAGCCCAAGGTCTGTCCTGTTTACTTAATTTCTGTCCCAGTCAAGCTCCTTAAGAGTTTCTGTGCCAAAATTTGGTTTTCCTTTTCTTTCTACTCTAGTCGCACATCTCAAGAAGGGCACCACTGGCATTGGGCAAATCATGCTTGTCAGGGACAGTCCTACCAAAGGTGGGGGCTGGCAGCTCTGGTCCCTACCTACTCATGTCAGTGGAGGGAGCTGCCAAATCAGTGAGCAACCAAAAATGCATTTCCAAGTGCCCTTAGTAGGTGAACACCACACTACCACATAAAAAACACTGCTACAAGCTCTACTATTTCATTAAACCCAGTGTCAAGAACCATCTATATGACTCAAGTCTGTATCCCTAGTTAAGAGTTTTCTAAAATTTGAATCGCTTTTTTTCCTTTCAACAAAACATGGACATTCCCATGTCCTCTACAATCACTTCAAATCTCTCTTCTCCCTCACGAAGCCCTAACCTGTTTCTCTATATTGTGGTTAACATATGCACCATCCAGAGTCAACCAAGCGGAAAATTGGCAGGCAAACAAAACCCCTCCCTCTTTCTTACCAAGTACTCTCAATTCTATGTTCTAATATCTCTCAAGTCCTTCCTCTTGGATGCCTACCAGGTTCCTATCATCTCTGTGTTACTGCAGTGGCCTCTAGACTTTCACAGTTTTCACCTTCTCTTCTAATGCAAACACCGTACTGCGCTCTCCTAGCCCCTATTTATTGTTCCACATTCCACGTGACCTTGAGAAAACGGGGGGAATTCCTTAGAAGGGTACAGAAAGACCTATACCGACATCTACATCCTCACTTCTGATTCTCAACAAGGGTCCTCATGTACCTAACATCCAGCATGATGCTAACTTGCCCCTTCAGGGGAAGGAGCCTGGTCTAGATACCTGTGCGCACATGCTGGATGTGTCCCACTGGCCTCCGCTGGCCCCTGAGGATCGACAATCACTTGGGAGGTGGGGGCACCAGCTGAAATGTTCTAGAACCCAGGCATCTTGCAGATTCTAAGTATTGACTGAAATGATCAATTCTTTATAAAGAAGAATTTAGTAAGGACATGACCCTACTAATGCACACACTGAATGGAATGATTTTCTCTTTTCTGTCTTCAAACAACTTCACCTTACATAGAAGGGCTTCTAGTATTAATTGCTTACAAACCGTGATGAAACACTTTAGGGACCCAGACACCACATGGTTAAGCTGAATGTCAAATGAATGGATAGCAACCTACACAAATAACCTACCACCTACAGCTACAATTTTTTATTAGGTAAATGGATGAAGAGCATCCTACCTGCACCACTGCCATGCTCGATCAGTAATACATAATTCAGACATGGATCATTCATTTTGTTCAAGATTTTATTTTGCATTTTCTTATACTGGAAACTCTTTCTTGGGTTAGCATTTACCACTTGGAGATTCACTGTTGGAGGCCAAGTGCTGGAGGATCAACAAGTGGGGATCCCCTGTAACACAGGTGGCCCATGACATAGCCACACAGGCTCTGCAAATCCTCTAAGTCTTTGAAATCTATAAAGGCTATATCTAAAATGAGTGTTTCCAACTCACCCAAATAAACGTTTGTAACATACGTTCTTTTCTTTCTTTGCAACATAAGTTCTTTTATTCATAATACAAGTTCTTATGACACAGATTATCATATAGAAACTGAACATTCTTACTTGAAATATAACAGATCTTTTCTTTCTTTGCAACATAAGTTCTTTTATTCATAATACAAGTTCTTATGACACAGATTATCATATAGAAACTGAACATTCTTACTTGAAATATAACAGAAATCATAAAGCACATGAGCACTATCTTATTAAAGCATTGCACTTCAAGTAAAATCAAAACAAAACATAAAGACTAAGGTTATTTCTTTATCTTTCAATAAAGGCTATAAAGTTTCTGAGTTTTATTTTTTAAATAAAAAAGACAAGAACTTCCACAATAGTTCCCTTACTATGAACTACCACAGAAATGAAAAACAAGATATTTAAATTTTGCAAGCAACTGAAATTCAATAAAATTTTAATCTATAATTTAAATTAAATGACTTCAGAGTTAACCAATCATGTAATTTTTATCCCACTTGATTGGTAGGAAATGAACTGAAGAGGGTTAACAACCTGCTACATGTTCATTTCAAGGAAGGAAAATAAAAACCTACACTAAATTCCCCTTTTAAAAAGATTTTCAGATAATACTGATATTAATAGTAAGTGATGTCTTGGCATGACCAAAGGCAAAGTAAAACAACTTACTTTTTGCTTGCCTCACAGACATCGGTAATATTGGAGAAAAGATGGTGACTCTCTGTTTTGGTCATTGTATCACTCAGTTCTTTAGAATTTTTAAACATTCGTATCAAGATCTCCAAGCTGAGTAAATATGAATGCTCAGAGGATATGACTTCAAAGATAGCCTGGGAAGAAGGAAAAAGAAATGGATTATTAAATCTTTAAACTAAAGAGCTAAATATAGCTCTCATCATTCCACTATAAGAACAGAATGACAGACTATCTTGATAAGTACCAAAAATAAGCATTAAGAAATTTACATCACCAAATGACTGTCTTCATATAAGGCACATATATCCAAAATCTCAAAACTAGAATCAAGAGCCTCGTATAAATATGAAAAAAGGAAAGCATCAACTGACTTGTGATTACATCCTGAGGTCATTCTTTGCCAAGGGGTGCAGTCAATGTAAGGAAGCTAGATATAAAATCTCAGTGTGAGGTTAACGAACCTTTGGGGCATCTCCTCCAGTCTTGCTTTCAAAGCTCGACTGTTCTGGGACAGTAAAGATTTATGGCGATTGCCTGGGAGTCAGAGGATATTTTTCACAAATAGTTTCCTTCACTCCCTCCCCTCTGGAATCCTTCTCTCCCTGATTTTAATTAGACCAATTTACAATCAATAACAGCAAACATTCTGGGTGTATTAGGAGAGCAAGATTGTACCTACCCTCAAAAGATTCTTATCAGTCGCAAGAATTCTTTTATATAAACTCACATAATTGAAAGTAATTCTATTTGTCCAAGAGCCACCTCTCTGCTCTTGTCAGTGTCTCAAGAAGAAGTGAAGAACCCTCTACAGAAACTGTTGGTGCCAGGCACAAGGTTTGTTAAAGATAAGGATTCATTAAAGATGAAATGCTAACCCACATATGTGGATGGACACCAATGCCCGGGGTAAGGAATTCATCTAGCTCCTTAACAAAATCAACTTTAGGGCTTCCAGGAATGGCAAGGCAGGGAGAATTCCTCCCCAGGGAGAGGTGGTTAATATCCTTGTGTGCCTGAGACTCACAGCCTTCCTGGAGGCTAGTAACACTGCCATCATCAGCCTGGCCTCAGGCCTGCTCCCCTTAAGTCTGTGGCCCAAAGGACAAGAAGGACTTTCTCTTAAGTCCTTGTGTTGCAGCTGAGGTCAGGTGGGAGCTGGCAGTCCAGGAAGGCAGACATCCAGCTGCTGGGGTGGGCCATACTTTATAAGTCAGGCTAGTGATGCTAATCTCAGCATTCACCGCCCTTCTTAGCATCCACATGCATTTAGGGAAGTCTTAATTAAATGTGCTAATCTAGCCTCTGTGTGCTCCAGGGACTGAAGTGTTATATCCATCTGCAGAGTAAAGAGTAGGAACATTAAGTGTCTTATTTAACCTTCATCTAGTTGTAATGCTATCCAATCAACATAGTTATCTCCAGGTATATAATGGTAACTAATTTATACTTTTCCCTTCCTAAGCAAAAGAAAAGATTTCAGGTTGTTGATGGATATCGTGTCTTGGAATGACTTAAAATATTTTCTAAAGGAAAAGCTTTAATAATCAAATCCAAAAAGCTAATATTGGAACAGATAGGAGAAACTAAACAGAACAGATGGCATGAAAAGACAAATAAGTGGTAGTAGCTTAATACAGGTTTAATGTAATAACAGTTAAAACATCCTTCAACAGAGACATCAAGACATCAACTACTTAAAAGCAAATCAGGTTACCTCTGCTAAAAGCAAAAGGGGCAGAAAGGAACCATAAAGTTACATTTGTTGCTATCATTACTTTTTGCTATAACAAATCCGGACAAATATTTTCAAAACATACAGGAAATAAAATAGGTTCAAGTAGATAAGGTTTAAAAGAATAGCAATGTTCAAATGCATACTTTAGAACACTGAACAATCTCTTGAATACAGACCAATTCATAACAATAGCTACCTCTGGAGAGAGAGGAGGGCATGGGCCTGGCAGGGAGAATATGGGAATTATTATTTTTTATCAAAAGTTTTAATTTCTTTAAGAAATATGTATAAAATTATTATTAATTCTCAGTGATGGGTATCCCAATATTATATATTCTTTAACTTAAAAAAATGGCATTATAATGTTCCCTTATATGTCTGCTATTTCAAGTCAATGAAAAAAGGATTCTTCCTGCTATTTGTGGAATTAATTTATATGTGTGCATATACATAGACTTATATATACACATTATTATTCATAAGACAGGAAGGAAGTGCTTTGAGAACATAATGTAGCACTACAATGAACAATTTTCTTAAAATGCTTTTATTTAAACTTCAAGTTGTGAAACCCTATTGTTACTTTATGTTTATTAACTAAACTTTTGTTTTAGATTAATTTTAGATTTATGGAAATCTTGCAGAGAGATTAGATGCCTGTGTCTCCAATTAGCTTCCTCTAGCTAGTGTACATTACACAACCAAGTTACATTACATTTTGTCTATAGACAAATGTACATATTTTATTCAGATTTCACCAATTTTTCCACCATATCCATTTTCAGGTCTAGAATCTAAAATCAGTTTCATTCAGTCTAAATACTTAAACTAGGTATTTTGTTTTGTAAATTATAAATATTGGGATATTTAAAAATTTTTCTTTTCTGGAGGTTATGTGCAGTTTTAGTTAACAATGATCACACGTTGGGCCTCCCTGGTGGTGCAGCAGGTTGAGCACAGCGCTGTCAAGCTGTCTACAGCCTCTGCAGGGGGTTCGATTCCCAGCCGCCTAGGGAGATACCCACATGGTGCGGCGGACCTCTCATGTCTCCCCCACTACTCCCCTCAGCAGTGTTTTCGGTCTGTCTGCCTGTTCTGTTCCCCACTCTGTATCTGGTGAATTCTCTCACCCTCCCGCTCCTCTGGCCTGTACCCCAGTTCTTGCATAAATAAATAAATCTTTAAAAAAATCATATGTTGCTTTTATAAAAGGAAGAAGATAAATATATTTTCAGAGGAAAACTGAACAAGTACACACAGTAGGTAAAAGCACAGACAACCACACACACCCTTCAGAGCTCTAACCATCTGCTCAGCAGAAAACATACCTCTTGTCTCTTTCTTTCCTCTTGGCTAACTGTCTGAGATAATCCATTTTTTTTCACCTAAGAGAAAAAACAAAATGAAGTTGAGCTCACTTATATCTAGAACATTATCCTACAGGTTAATTTAATCTGTTCCAGACTTAGTTTTGGATGCTCCTAAATATTTATCAAATTCTTTCCTAAATCAAACATGATTAAATCTATTAATAAAGAAAATGAAGCCATTACTCTAAGAGCTTACTATTCAGGATGACACTTTGAAAGAGTAATGTCAACACTATTTTTCACCAAGATTCCATGAAATAATAATGTTCTTTATAAAAACCCAATAAAGCAAGAAAACAAAGTCCTCCCTTCCCCAAATTTCAGCAGTCTTTTCCGCATATCGGAATTCAACAAGTGAGAATGCTAACCCGATAGTCTTTAGAGAAGCAAAAGTACTGTAAGAACAACCAAGAATTTCAGTTTCATATGTTAGCACTGCAGTTGTACCTTTAGTAAAATCACTGCAATTATTTCTTCAGCCACCACACCTTTTTATTTATTTGACTGCTGCAGTTCTATCACAACGCAGCTTCTAAACTGAAGGACAGAGGTAGAACTGTGAATTCTAGAAGATACCTAGCAGTGAGTCTGGTACACCAAAGCTACTCCCGTTTTTCTGTCAAAGATTAAATTACCAAAAACCATAGCATGTATAAAATATCAACCAATTAAATCCTACACTTACAGAAGAGCAGTAAAGGGCCTCCCTAATGGCCTAGGCGTTAAGTCTCAGCACTATCACCTTTAAGGCCTGAGTTCGATTCCTAGCCAGGGAACTAACGAGCACACCAGACCTCTCCTGTCTCGCCTGCTGCTGCGCTCAGCAGTGTATTTCAGTAGATCTACCTGTTCTGCTCACTCTTCTGTCTCTGGTGAATCCTCTCTCCTCCTCACACCTTTGGCCTATACCCCAGTTCTTCCAAGCAAAATAATTGAAGTCAATAAATAACTGAAGTCAATATAGTAGTGTTTGTTTATAAAAAAAAGCAATAAAAAAGAGTTCTCTCCTGGGCCTCCCCCGTGGCGCAGCGGTTGAGCGCTGGGTTGCGAAGCTGCCCGCGGCCTCTGCGGCGCCGGTTCGATCCCCGGCTGCTCCCCAGCCACCGGAGGAGGGTCCCACATGGCGCGCAGACCTCTCCTGCCGCCCGCTGCTCCCCTCAGCAGCGTACTTCGGTCCTTCTGCCTGCTCTGCTCCCCGCTCTGGCTCTGGTGAATTCTCTCACCCTCCCGTGCTTCTGACTGTACCCAGTGCATGTATAAACAAAACAAACAAACAAATAAAATAAATAAATAAAAAACATGCCTTTATTAAAAAAAAAAAAAAAGAGTTCTCTCCTTTCACAATAGAAATTAATAGAAACAAAATACAACAAATGTAACTAAATATTTTTGCTATTATAATCCTAAGAAAATATTTAAAACCATATTCCCTAGATCCAATTCTAATATCTCAAATTTTTCATCGTAAGTTTGATGCAATAAAAAGGTATTATTTTCCTACTAATTGCAAACCTAAAAGTTTTAAAATGTGATACATAGTCTCTTAAATATTATTCAGAGATGCAAAAAAAACCATAAAGATTGGTATCTACCATCACTCTTTTAAAAATAAATGTTTTCCTTAGCAGTTGGAGATTTTATACTATTTTTTGTTATCCTTTAAATCATATTTATGTCAATCCCTTCCCCCCCAGTTTCCTAATGCAATAGAGTTCCAAGTATTAGGCTATCTTATTACTCTAATATAACCCTAGCATAATCTGATGCAAAAATATGTTTTTGTTTTATTTCCTAAAATTTCCCAGAACCATTAAGCTTTAAGTGTGAAAGAGTCTCTTGGATTATGTAATCACTATATGATCATTAACCACCTATGACCAAAACAACACAATTATTTCCAATTTTAGTGCTGTGAGCCTTAAAAGTAAATTTTTTTTTCCCCTAAAAGTAAAATGTTATTGCGAATGCAACTCTTAGTAAGGTGGGGAGGGGAAACAATGGCTTCATTAAGGGAGGCTTTGTGAATCAGTATTTCAAGTTTACCCCCTTTATCTTGTGCCCCAGTGGTTTGACATCATGGGACAAAGTGCCATAGAAGATTTGCGATGGGCAAGAGAGATGCCTCTAGTAAAGTGGCAAAAGGACAACAATTAAAGGGGGAGGCTTGAAGAAAGACCCAGAGAAACATTTTAACTGCAGATGCAATCTTAGTTTTACAGAATTCCTAGGTGTTGAAGACCTGGAAAAGAATATCCTTAACGCTGCTCCCAGCCACCTGGCACAGTCTTTGGGAATGCCCAGGGGAGTGACGCATGGCCTCGTACAGGAAGACAGCGGGTGCAAAGTCTCCTCTGGACTGTCATAGACATGAAGACAATTAGAGCTGACCCTTCGACAACATGGGTTTAAATGTCCTGGGTCCACTTACAGCAGATTTTTTTCAATAAGTACATTGGCCCTCCATGTTCACAGGCTCCACATTCAAGGATTCAACCAATCCACACACGCAAACCCGCAGGCATGAAGGGTTAACTATAAGGACTTGAGCAACCACAGGCCTTGGTATCCTCGGGTGGCCTGAAAGCAATCCTCAGTGGATATGAAGACATGACTGGAGTTGTCTTTGAGGAGTCAAAACTTATATATGGATTTTTGACTAAAAAGGGGTTGCAGGTCCATCTTCAAAACTACACACATATTCGTATCTTTAACTTGAAGTTTGGAAAAACTCACAGAGTATAGTAGAAAGAATCCTGAATCAATAATAAAATTATCATTTATTGAATATTTACTGTGTGCCAGGAAATGTGCAAAGCATTAAGCCCTTTCCCATTGAATCCTTATAAAAACTTCAGAAAGTTGACACCATTCTTGCCCCCAATTCACAAATGTGGAAAACAACCAGGACTTAGAATTCAAAATCACACAGCTAATAGGTTGCAGACCAGGCCTGTCCAACTCCAGTGCTTATGCTCGTAACTATGACATCATATGCATTAGAGACCCTAATCTCCAGGAGGCACCCCATTTCTAGGGTTAAGCAATCATCACGATTGCTCCTCTATAATGCCAGGATTGTACCAAGTCTCCAAATGGGGTTTTCTCATCAACCCACACTGTGAAATGTTCTTAGCTTTTCCACCTGACCCTGGACCAGACTGTTAGCAAGAATTCATGCTGAAAGGCTTTTGTGTACATTGTAATAAGGGAGGAGACAACCAGAGGAACAGAACCACTGTTCCAGCTCTAGGCAGGAATGTCAGGTTTTCCTCTCTGTCTCACTTCCTGGTGGCTCCACAACCAGTTGCCAGGCCTGCAATGTATTCAGGCAAGGTTACCAGCAAGACTCTTCACCCTATTTGGCATCTCCATTGCAAAAAACTAATGAGTTCAAACCCAGAAGTCTTAACAGGGAGAGAGGGGAACATGTGTGCTCGGAGGCCTACGCAGATGACAACTGGTTTACAGAAGGATTAAGAGTACTTCATTAGATCAAAAGAAAAGGAAAGAAAAAATTCCCCCCTAAGATAGTTGTTCTCTTAAGGGGAAAGAGAGGTTGCTTTGAAAAAGGCAAAGTATCATCTTTTACAAATACAATACAAGCAATGATAAAATATTCCATACGAAACCAGAGCCCATACAAAGCTCCTGCAACAGAGAAAAAGATGCCAGGATGTTTTCTTGGGTCATAATTAAGAAAACTGAAGTGCAGCACCTTCAGGGAGTCTGAAAATATGCTCTGCAGAATTTTGACAAATGTGCACTTGTGGCCGGGGGCCAGACCACTGCTCCCAGGCTTGTCCTTCAGTCTCAGCCCCTCCAGACCCTTCCCAGGGTAGGCTGGAAGGTTCTTCCTCAGAGCCAAGAGGAACCCTGCTGTCCACTTGTGCTCCTGTTCCATGGGTAGCTCTACATTAAGTTGCACCAAGAGCGCTGCCTGAAGGGAGGTCATAAACAGGCAAGACAACTTCACAGACTAAGGAGATTGTGGAGATAGACCCAGAGAGAGGGGGCGAGAGTGGTATAAAAAGCATCCTGCAAAGACTGCCAGAAGACAGAGAAGAGAACATTAAGCCCAACATCAAGCAGAAAGAAACAAGGAAAGAAGAATGGAAGGAGGAAAGAGAGAGAAAGGAAAAGGAAGAAGAAAGAATGTGTCAAAAAGTTTTCATTGTAAATATCTGGAAATTTTCTGGCCAAAGACAGTGACCTTGGCAGTAAGTAAAATCACTCGACTATCCAGACATCTTTTTGATTAAAAAAAAAAGTGTATAAAGCACATTAAAGTATGTTTAGTATGCCAATAATATGCAAGTGCTTTTTGCAATTTGTACATTTTTGCTAAGAGAATCTAAAATATTATCAAGTTTATCACATTTATTCAAATGTTCCCCTTGTTTCCATGTGTGACAGAGAAAAAGTAATATGCCATTTTCTAAAACCTGATTCCTATCTTGCTATTTAAAGTGAAAAAAATTAAAACTGCACAGGCTCCTTTTCAATCTTTAAAATATACATTTCTTCTTCTTTTTTTTTTTTAAAGATTTATTTATTTATTTATACAAGCACTGGGTACAGTCAGAAGCGCGAGAGGGTGAGAGAATTCACCAGAGCCAGAGCGGGGAGCAGAGCAGGCAGAAGGACCGAAGTACACTGCTGAGGGGAGCAGCGGGCGGCAGGAGAGGTTTGCGCACCGTGTGGGACCCTCGTCCGGGGCCGGGGATCGAACCAGCGCTGCAGAGGCTGCAGGCAGCTTCGCAGCCCAGCGCTCAACCACTGCGCCACCAGGGGAGACCCTAAAATATACATTTCTTATTGGTAGTTCGGTTTGAGTACAAGTGAGAAGGTCAAACCAATGCTTCGCTAATGATCTCTTCCAACCTCATTTGAACTTTTTATTCCTCCTTAGTTATTTAACATTATCAATCATTTGAATTGCAAAAGTAGTTTAATGAAACACTAAGAATTTGATTCAATTTGGAGTTCTTCACTATGTGTAATCAAGCCAATTCACA